CTCTCTCTCTCTCTCTCTCTCTCTCTCTCTCTCTCTCTCTCTCTCTCTCTCTCACACACACACACACACACACACACACACGCGCACGCACGCGACTCAATCCAGAATTTCATACTACCCCCCCCCCTTTTTCTTTTTCAATATCATGTGACCCGATGGGACACGGATCAGATAGTAAACTGATCAGCGCAGATACTCCACTTGTTCTAAGCCAAAACGCCGAGAAAGGTGTTGTACTACCCCCTTTTTCCTTTTATCTTTTTTTGCACCGCGCCCACCCCCATCTTTCAATTCTCCTCTGTTTCTTTTTCCAACCGACAAGTGCAATACTCTGATCTCTTGTTCCTCGCCTAATTGTTCCTTCTAAGCAAACAAACAAAAAAAAAAACACTAGTCCATTTCAACACATCTTGACAACGTAAAAAAGCTACCACGTATTGTCCTGTGATAACCCGAGACACAGACAGTTCACATGATAATTTGGCCCCCACCCGCCTTTTCCAATGCCTTCTCCGCCATCCTTTCGGCATGCATCAATCTCTCCCGCCGGCCGCGTGAACCCGGCTCGTACTCCTTTCTTTTCTTCATTTGTTTCCTGCCAAGTTTGGTTCGCGGCTCTACCAACCCTCTCTTCTGCAGACTCTTGTACCTGTCTCTCAGCAGAGTAAAGCATCCCTTCAGGGTGCGCATAGAGCCTGTCAGTTCTTCTGACAACATCACCTGCACAGGAGCGGGCTGGAATTTGTGTTTGCCCAACCTTGGGGGTCCTGCTGCTTTTCTCTCAGTCCTCGAGACCTGCAGCCTAATCCGCTTCCGCTCCTTCTCGTCAGCCTCGCTCTTCAACTCCTCCACCAGTTCTGGCAATCTTATTATATCCTTGCGCATTTTCTTTCGGTGCTTTTTTGATTTCTCTAGCATCTCTTGGGCTCGTCGTCGCGCCCTTCTGTTGAGTTCAGTTCTGGTAAGTTTCTTGACCTTCACAGCCCTCGACGGCGCAGCCACACCATGTTCCCCCTCTTCGCTTGATTCACCTTCTTCTCTGATGCCCTCCTCCCCATTCTCTGCTGCAGCCCCGCCAATTTGCAAACAGGATAAGTCTCCATAATCTTCCTCGACGGCATCCACAACCTTCATCGGAATTCCTTCCGGCTGCATATCACGCTCGTAGATAGCCTTCATTTCCAGCGCAACAGCCTCTCCAAGCGCATCCTGGTGATCGTTGAATGTTGGATTGTACGAGCACCCGGGAAGGCACACTTCTACCGCTGGACATGCTGGTTTTGAATTCTTCTTCTTCTTTGTCCTCTTCCTTTTCGTGTCCTCGTCTTCGGGAATGTGACCTGGAGCACCAGGGTCCTCCTTCTCCTCATGTTTCCCGCCACCTTCTGCATCTTCTGCCCCTGCCGAGTAGATAACGTTATCCTCTGAGCGTAATCCGTCACTCCAAAGATCGAATTGCTCTTCGCCCTTTCGCTTCCGTTTCGTCGGATTCGACCCCTCAACCGTATTGTCCGCAGCACGAGCATTGCCTTTCGACCTAGATTTACTCGCCGCAGATTTCGTAGAAAAAGTTCCAGGTAGAACCGCCGCCGCAGCTGCTGTCGCAACCCCCGTCATCAACTTCTTCTTCTTCTTAACGCCCAGTGTAACTGGCGGGATAAGTGAATTCCGCTGCAGAATACTGTCGCATCTTAGCACCTTCTTCCGTGCTCTGTCAATCTTCCTCTCCAAAACCGGGGCCTTGGTTTTATCGACAAAAAAGATCTGCTCGTCTTTCAATTGATGTACGGGTCCTCCACTGCGAGCGTCTTTGGCGACTTCCTCTATATAAGCGTCTTGCTCCTCTGTACCGATGTTCTTCCGCCATTCTTTCTTGCCTTTACGAGAAGTCTTCGCTTTCCCCATCCTTCACTACTCCAGAGATCGTCCCTTGCACTCAATCGTCCCCTTTCTCCTCTTTGCTCTTCCCTCTTCGTCCCGATCTTCCGTCGATCGTCCCCTCCACTCAATCGATCGATGATTAATTATGTAACGAGCTTACCTGTTGCGGCTCCCCCCGCAAAAAACTGTGGACTTTTGCAAACGAAAGCACGGAGCATGAGGTGTGTGCTGGCCTGAGTCAGTTAACAAAAGGCCTGTTCTGTCCGAAATATTTTCACATCTATTACCTTCAACGGACATCTCTCTCCTAGTGCGTCAGAAAGTGCTCTCTTTCAGATGTCAGAAAATACGTCTTGGAGGATACCCTGGAAAACATAACACGAAAAAGAAATGCAGCCGCACGTGTCAGAGTCACTTCGTCAACAGAGCATCGTCCCTTCTCTCTCTCTCTCTCTCTCTCTCTCTCTCTCTCTCTCTCTCTCTCTCTCTCTCTCTCTCTCTCTCTCTCTCTCTCTCTACGTCCCTGTGTGGCGCGCGCGCTTAACACGCACGTCTCCCTCTCCCCCGGTACCTGTCTCCCTCTCTCGTCTCTCCTCGCCATCCCAAGGGCCAGCGCTACTGTCTCCTACTTCTCGTGCCATCACCTCTCTCTCTCTCTCTCTCTCTCTCTCTCCTGTCTCTTATACACATCTAGATGTGTATAAGAGACAGCACTACCCTAGCGCAGCTATGGCTGCTTGCTACCTCT